TATGCTCGAAGTTGTTGAAGAGTACGTTTACCTGGGACAAATAGTCCGACTAGGTAAGTCCAACTTCGACCGAGAGGTCAATCGACGGATTAAACTCGGCTGGGCAGCGTTCGGGAAATTACCATACATCTTCTCGTCAGGTATACCTCAATCTCTGAAAACTAAAGTGTACAACCAGTGCGTGTTGCCAGTGATGACTTACGGATCAGAGACGTAGTCCTTCACTGCTGGCCGAGGACGCTCAAGGTCGCTCAGCGAGCTATGGAGAGGGCTATGCTCGGAGTTTCTCTGCGTGATAGACTCAGAAATGAGGATATCCGCAGTAGAACCAGAGTGACCGACATAGCCCAACGGATTAGTAAGCTGAAGTGGCAATGGGCCGGCCATATAGCTCGAAGAACCGATAACCGATGGGGAAGAAAGGTTCTTGAGTGGCAGCCTCGTACCGGTAGGCGTAGTGTAGGGCGACCCCTCACTAGATGGAGTGACGACCTGGTAAGACATGCAGGAAGTCGATGGATGCAGGTGGCTCAGGACCGTGCTTTGTGGCATTGCTTGGGGGAGGCCTATGTTCAGCAGTGGACTTGTGAAGGGCTGTAATGATGATGATGATGATGATGTTGAAAACGAGAGGGTGTTCTCCTTGTCCGGTGACATTATTGCAAAAATCAGAAACAGATTGTCGGACAAAGCTGTTGACGCTCTGATTATTTTAAAAAGTCTATTTTATTAAATCAGTAAAGAAGTCTAATTATTGTGTTAGTTGATTATTTAAAATACTGATTTATAAGTGTGGTTTATTATTTATATTATTTAATTATATAATAAATCTGTGATTATGAGAATTAACAATGTTGTGATTACGACCTATGATTAGATACTAGAATTACTAGATAAAAGTAAAGTTATTAAGAATGTATGATATTTTCTTTAAAAAAGGCTTACCCCTCTTAAAAAAATTGTTCTTAGTCTTTCTAAAAGTAATTCTTCTTAAGTCTCGAAGTCCCGGGACTTCCCGGGACTTTGATTGTAGGCTGTCTCGTGTCCCGGGACTTTGAAATTGTCGGGAATTCCCAAACCCTAATTATGATTATAACATAATATACTAATTGGGGTGTCTGAGGGTGTGCGTTAATTAGGTTACATATTGTATATATATATAGTTTAATAAGTCTTATTTTTTTTGAACTTGGCTATTGCAACTGTATATACTGTACATTTTGTGGGATTTTGGTGAATGAATTGTGACTCTGTGGAGTCAAGTAAATGGTCTTCTTACCATATGTCTTTTCCTATGTCACAGAATAAATAATAAATAGTACTACGTACATATGTAGAGAATGTACATCACATACTCAAAATCTACACATGTTTACATTTTCGTAAATACATTGAGAGGTCAAAGTTAAAATGGGTACGAATTTTCCTCAACGTTTGTCTAAGCTACTGTTAGATTTTTTTATGAGTAAAGATGACAAACGAGCACACAGCTGAAATGATGGTAAGTGGATGCTAAAACATAAATTGCTTTTATGACCCTCTCCTGACATAAACTCTTGTTTCGAACGAGATTGATCATGAAAGTCTAGGAAGACAAATACAGACACCTGTTTTTGTGCTTAATTATGATAACAGAACAAACTTTACAATTGACATCTGCAAAGGTAAATTATGTAAATGTAGGATGTGCAACAAAAGCGGATAATCGATATTATTCGGCTCCAGCGAATAATGTATTCAGCGCATGCGAAATTTCATTGTCAGTGCGATATTTAGCATTAAGCGAAACCGGTGCTGAATGTGATAAAGTTAGGCCATTGACACACAATACGGGAATAATACGAATAAGGTAAAACTTGAGTGTCAAATGAGCGTACAAACCACATAGGCAGTGGTTACTGCAATCTATGGATACATGAGATTAACTTCAAACTACGAGAAGGATGCGTCTCCAACTATGATGACTAAGACTGTATATCTACGGCCTGTAATATAGGCTCTCCTTTATACCCTTTAGGCCTATACACAGCAGTACAAGCACTTGCACTGCTGTTTGGTCAGGAATAGGTAAGAGCTTGTATATATATATATATATATATATATAAAATCAATACTTATTCAGTAGCTCAGATGGTGAGCACTCGCTGTAAATTTCACAGTACGCGAGCAAACGGGGTTCGATCCACACCGGCACCGACGAAATTGTTATTTGCAATTTTAAGTGTTGATTTACCACGTGCAAGTAAGACATCGTGAGCAAACAAGCATATCTGAGAAATAAGAAAAAATAATATTTTGAAGACATGTGAAGTTCGCCAACACGCATTGAGGCAGTCCGGCGGACGATTCCTTGCCATAAAACCCTCTTAGAAATGAGCGGAGGCCTGTGCCCAGCAGTAGGACGTATATAGGCTGAAACTTTAATCACTACACTCTACAAGTTTACTGCTGAAAAAAAACCTCGCACAAATTCACGCCACAAATAACTATCTAGAGTTACGTGCATCGAAGCCAGGAATGGAGGCGCCGTCAGGAATCGGGGTCGTGAGTTGTTGCCATGTTGCGAAGGATTTGCTAACACAGTTTTTCTTATACGGCTATCATCTGACTCTGTTTCCCTCTGTCGCCTATTATACATACAAAGGATGTTTAGGGATAGTGGATATTCTTACGCCGTACGATTTAGTATCCACAAAAGTAAAGCAATAAGCGTATTACAGCTTCAAGACAAAGAATAATCCAACGAGATTTCCCTCTACGTGTTGTTAGGTTGGTGAAATATTATATTTAAATGTGACATCATAATTCAACACGGTTCTTTTCTGTTAACATGATGCTACAAACGATATGATACAAAATTCTTCTAATTAAACTTTATCAGCATCACAGACGTACCGAAGCATCGGGACACGCACTGGTGTGTCCTCATCCTTAAATCGAATGCGGCATTGAGTTAGACTTCAATTCAATGTTAACGTTTTCGCAATTATCAGTCATCGTGCATAGTAATTAGGTATAATTTCCTTAATTCAACCGTTATCCCGCCAAGATTCGCTTTTGATACGTTTCTTTATAAAACCAGAATAGAAAAAGGAACCTTGTTAATTAGTGTAATTAATTATTGCTGTGCTGTAGCTGTCAAAACACTATGGTCAGCGTCTAGGACGGAATCAAAATCGGAGTTCATTATGAGAAAACGTTAATTAATGCTTTCTTTATTTTTATATAATAAGGATAGCAAACGAGCACACATAGCATTTGATGGTAAGTGAATGCTGTGGCCTAAAGACATCTACATTTATTCTCAATTATGAATCAAAATGCAGATGCGTTGTCACCCCTGAGGACTAAGATGGAATGCCTCGCTTCCAGTGAAAAGGGACTCCGATTTTCTACATTCACCATACGAAACAGCAGCATTAAACTCCTATTTTAAGCTGATATTCTGTGAGAGCGTGGTCCTTCCCCGGTCGAGCCGACCCATTCGTGCTACAACTATACTGCTAATATAACTGCAGCATGGCTCTACCACGCATAAAAAGCTTTATTTGAGAAGATGAAAAATAATATAAAATACATTTGTACCCTACTCAATGATTTTTAGACAGTAATATAACATCATGTCAACTCATGTTAAGATAAAAAAGATATTTTTCGCTTCCTTTTTCATGTATCGTAGGGACCTTTCCTAAAAGTAATTTATTTTAATTTCTAATTTAATACTCCGCTTCGGTCAAAGCTCTACACCAGATATCTGAATTTCAGGTCAGGATATAAGGACAGACGGACAGACAGCCAGGCAGCTAAGTTACATTAATTAAGCTCCGTTTTATCCTTTGAGTATGCAACCTTAAAATCAACGCTCAAGATATACTCGTATTTTATAATTTCGTTTGTGTTCGCTTAAAACCATAAGAACCCTAAAACCTTATAACCTAAATATTATACTTATAAAAAACCTTATTCTAAAAAAAAACTTAAAAGCCCTAAATCCTAAAAACTGTAAACCTTGACCATTTGTATACTTTGTCAATTTATAAAAAATTAAGAGCGTAAAACTTAAATTCGAAAACTAAGTAAAAATATGCTCAGCTTATTAGAACTCCTAACATCGATATCGACGATTACAACTGAATGTACTCCACAGAACGTATTAAACCCCTAAAGGGGATGTACTCGCAGATAACGCAATACGGAAACAATCCATACTCTGATCAAATGTTAGTTATATATGCCACAATAAACCTTAAGATCTGTACCTTTTAAAAGTAACAACTCTAGCGAAAGTCACAACTGAGGTTAAAATTAGAAATAACTCGTTGTACATATCTATACCGCTAACTAAGCTATTATTTTGCGCTGGTATTCTGTGAGAGCGTGGTCCTTTCCCGGTCGAGCCGACTAATTCGTGCTGCAACCATAATATACCTGCGCCGGCTCTATGTAATCTGCATACTAAAACGTACATGCGATTGAACGTTTGCATGTTGTTTCTGTCTAAATATTGTCGAACAAACCGTAACGTATTCTTACGTGGTAGAGCCATGCTGCAGCTCTATTAATTGTATAGTTGTATCACGAATGGGTCGGGTCGACCGGGGAAGGACCACGCTCTCACAGAATACCAGCGTCAAATAGCAGCTTAATGCTGCTGTGTTTCGTATGGTGAGTGTAGAGATCCAGAGACCCTTTTTACTAGAAAAGAGTCATTACATCTTAGTCCTCAAGGCTGACAACGCATCTTCATTTTGATTCATAAACGAGGATAGATGCAGATGTCTATGGGCCACAGCAACCACTTACCATCAGGTGGACTCTGTGCTCGCTTGTCACCCTTTTCCTATAAAAAAAACGTACCGGTAAGCGAAATTGTGCGGCCGTCCACTTGATGGTGACGACTTGGTAAGAGATGCAGGAAGTTGATGGATGCAAGCCGTAATGATGATGATGTTGTTGTTGTTTGTGTGTGATTGGGTGTGTGTGAATAAAATCAAACTCACGTTTACTCTCGAGCTGGGTCGGTTCGGTCGGCACATGCTTCAGCCCCGCCTGATTCGACATCTCTTTGCCACTACAGCGTCCCAGCATCCATCTTATCTCGTCTGTAACAGATTGAATGACATTATTGAACTTTGTAAGTTACAGTTACGTGCGCAAACTTTGAGATGGTTGAAGTTATATGTTACTGCAAACAAATGTACATTGTGAGAACAAAATAAATTATGCCAACACTCAAGTAAGGCGGTTTACACACGATCGTTAGATCAAAAAAAGATTAAAAACGATAGTTTGACTTTTTTTTTATAGAATAAGGGTGACAAATGGACATACAGTCAACTGCTGATGAAGTAGATGCTGTGGCCCGTAGACACCTAAGTCTTATTTTGAAATTACTTCAGTAAGAGCGTGGTTCTTGCCCGTCCGAGCCGGCTTATTTAAACCACAACCATAAGGTGCGTTTGGCAGAAAAAAGCGCTAGCAAGCGCTTGTAAGCAAAATGGCGATCGTAAGCGGTAAGCGCTGTCAAATCGTAAGTAGCTATTTTCCTCCAGGACACGATGTTAGTTTTAACCGGGGAACCTAACCTAATTTAAATATATGTTTGTAAAGTATTCATATTAAAAACTTACCAATGGTGAATTTTTAATAACATGTATATGTTTATTCATGTCATTATATTACTTAAAACTAATATTGCACAAAACAACTTATAAACTCTACTTCAAAACAAACAAATTAAATAAGCAAAATGGCGGATTGTGTCAGCGCTACTGAAGTAGCAATCGTGTCCTGGCCGAAAACTATTTTAGCGCTTGTAAGCACTTGCTAGCGCTTTTTTCTGCCAAACGCACCCATAGTATAGCTTCAGCGTGTCTTTGCCACGTTAAATTTGAAACTCTTTTTAGTGTTTTCTGCTTCCAGACAACCGCTAAGTTGTAAATTTCTAATCCAGTAAATGGTTTTCTTTCGTTCTTTCTTTCTATTGGGCCTCTCCAAACGTATAGAGGATTTATCCTAATCGTCACGTTTGAAAGATGGATTGGAGATTGCCAGTACCTGAGGTCCGGCACCGCTATTCTCCGTCACCATTCCGTCAACTATTAGATAAGTGTTTTAAAATTTTAGGATAAAGATAGGACAAAGTTAGGATATTAATAATTCCTCCTGTATCGCAGAGGCAGTTTACATATGTATATTAATTTCACAAGCACCAACATCGAAACCGAGAACAATTATTTGTAGGACATATAGACATTGATTTCGTGCGGGGTTAGAACCCGCGATCCTCAGCTCCGCAATTCAATGTTAAGCCAACCTAAAGTCAGCTGTGCAAAGAAGGCGTAATGTTTGACAACTTTTTTTATAGAACAAGGGTGACAAACGAGCGCAGAGTCCACCTGATGGTAAGTGGATGCTGTGGACTATAGACATCTACATTTATCCTCGTTTAAGAATCAAAACGCAGATGCGTTCCAACCCCTGAGTACTAAGATGGAATACCTCGTTTCCAGTAACAAAGGGTCTCCGGATCTCTACACTCACCATACGAAACACAGCAGTATTAAGCTGCTATTTTACGTTGGTATTCTGTGGGAGCGTGGTCCTTCCCCGGTAGAGCCGACCCATTCGTGCTATTATACTATAAATAGCTGCAGCGTGGCTCTACCACGTATAATATACGTCAATAACTTACTATTCATCTCCCTCAGATATTACAATAACTTTGTACTACATTGTTCTCTTGTACATAACTAATACGTCTGGAAGTTTTAGACTGGCATTGTTCGGAGGCATAATCAACAAGGCGTTTGTGTGACACATCAAAGTTTACCGACTAGTCGTCAAACTTGTGCAACTTTAATAGAAACTATATATAGCTGTTCCTGCGATTTCATACGGGCTTACATGTAACATCTCCATCCTACTAACTTATTAAATAAATAATATTATAACTATTGATTCATTATCTCATAAGGGGGATATTTAGCAGAAATGCCACGCTTAGCAGGTGAGTTGTATATAGGGTTGCCAATTTTTTTTTTAACAAATATAGTATTTTTCCCAAAAAAGATTAAAAAATATAGTTACGAGAAATTCAGGAAAAAAGTAAACATTAATTTTTAATCTTTATGTATTTTTCCATATACATATTTGTTATTGCTTTTCGCCTTGGCCATTAATGTTTAATTACGTTTAAAATATTTATAGGAATCTGAACAATTTAGGTTCATATTAAAATAAATTAATAATTCATTTTTAATCAAATCATATTCCATTTCTTTCTTCTTTCCATTTTACTTTTTTCCATTTAACGATTAATTTTTAATCAAATCATGCTCTATTTCTTTCTTCTTACCATTTTACACTCATAATGGAAAAAATCTTTTTTTTTTAATAGGAGAAGGGGCAAAGGAACATACGGCTCACCTGATGGTAAGTGATTACCACCGCCCATGAACAACTGCAACACCAGGGGGCCTGCAGACGCGTTGCCGGCCTTTTAAAAAGGAATAGGTTCTTTTCTTGACGGTCCCTAAGTCGTATCGGTCCGGAAAAATATCTGGTGGTAGTTGATTCCACAAGGAAGTTGTGCGAGGAAGAAAACTTCTTTTAAATCGCTTAGTGGTGGACCGCCAGTCATCCAGATGGTATGGACGGTATCGCGAGGTTTGTCGCAATGTGCGATGGTGAAACTGTGCGGCTGGAATTAGTCCGAACAATTCCTCAGAGCACTCCCCGTGATAGATGCGATAAAATACGCAAAGAGATGCAACATCTCTTCGCAGTGCCAGTGAATCAAGCCGACCGGAAAGCACTCGGTCGTCGACGATTCGGGGCGCTCTGCGCTGGAGGCGGTCAAGTGGAAGGAGCAGGTACTCGGGAGCCCCAGCCCAGAGATGGGAACAGTATTCCATGTGCGGCCAAACCTGCGTCTTGTAAAGTTGTTGGCGGTGTGCCGGCATGAAATACTGTCCCGTTCTGCTGAGCACGCCAAGCTTTTTTAGAGGCCAATTTGGCCTTCTCTTCCAAGTGACCACGAAAATGCACGTCACTCGATATGTCGACGCCGAGGATTCCGATACTGGCTGAGGCAACAAGGGGGGTGCCTTGAAACTGAGGAGATACGACAAAGGGGTTCTTTTTAGCGGTTAACGCGCAAACTTGTGTCTTCTGAGGGTTACTGGACTAGATTTAGTCGCCCCCAATCCGAGACTTTGTTCAACCTATCATAAAACCGCAAAAGCAATGAGATCAATAGTGAGCTCGCGTGCAGACTTAAAACGAGATTGAAACAGCGAGAGCGACTCTGCAGCCAAATATGTTAATGATGCTCTAGAAATTTCTTGGCCAACAACACAGAAATCAATAAAAATGTCCCTCAGATCCAATTTAGGTCACGGCAGCCAGTCTATGGAGTGCTGTCTGTGCAAGACAGGATTATAGTGCTTAATGTATGTTCAAGTACAGGTGCATACTCTATTCGCTCACGCTCATAGTCCGATGGTACGGCAACCCGACACGACCATAGAGACCAAAGGACTATCGGCTTTATATCGACCATCCGCGGCACGGGAGTAAAACAACTCCCAATGTCATGACTCCAGGCTGCTATTGAGATTTTCTTGATAGAGAAACTCAGTGAGGTCACCTGGGGCAATTATAGCTACTAGAAATATAACCCAAAATTTAACTTTAGGATTTTTCACTATCAATAATAAAAGGCCAAATTTGTTGAATTCTTTCGGTTAGGTATGTATTAGTGACACGAGTTCAGACCTATGCAAAGTCAATAATTAATGCTAAATTTGACAAATTCATTTTCCCCCGATTAAAATATAAATATTATAATTTTTTTTCGTGATATATTCAACTGCACTAACGAATAGAACCGTAGTAGCTCAGATGGTTAGCGCTCGCCGTTAATTTCACAGTATGCGAGCAAACCGGGTTCGATCCCCGCCGGCACCAATGAAATTGTTAATTGAAATTTTAAGTGCTGACTTACGACGTGCTCGGCGGTGAAGGAAAATACCGTGAGGAATCCTGCATGTCAGAGAAATAAAAAAAATTGTTCAAAGACTTGTCGCCAACACGCATTGGGGCAGCGCGGCGGATAATTCCTTGCCCTAAAACCCTCTCAGAAATGAGCGGGAGGCCTGTGTTCAGCAGTGGGACGTATATAGACTGTAACTTTAATTTACTTTCGCTGACATAGTACGTCAAAATTGCGGGAACAAATAACGCTCTGTATTTATTACTGTGTACGTGTTAGTGGCATCATCTATTGATATATATATATATATATATATATATATATATATATATATATATATATATATATATATATATATATATATATATATAAAACTAAAGCTATTCGGTAAAGCTACAGATGTCGGTCATTCTTAAAAACGCAACAATAACGAGTTATCTCAATCAGTTACGTTTGCCCCCTGCCTAGAATAGCCCAGGGTGACCATAACTGATTTAGGCTCAATCCAGGATCCTATAATAAACAGCCGCGTTTAGTTGGTCTAGCCAAGCAAGTCAACTTACTGTAATTATAGCTAATGCTTATACATACCAGACAAAATACCGAATGGGTTTTTCAATTTCATAATATTAATTCGTAATTTGCAGACTCGTGTATCACTTTTGATTTACTTTACACAGAAAAAAATAATAATTATTATTGTTTCCATACACAAAAAAAAATAGGCAGTTTGCGTTACACCAATCACATTTTTGCTAAGTAAAAATAAAATACACCGATTTACTTTTAATATTACATCGTATCATTACTTTACTGTAAACGTTTCTAATAGTTTTTAATAACAGCTCTCGAGTATACTAAAAGCAATTAGGAAAACCACTAGGCTGCACGAATGACTTGCTTTGACGTATAATAATTACTAAAAAATTGAACACTAATAAATTGCCACGATAATAAAGATAACGAAGACAGAACGAATCCGTAAGTCATCGTAGAAGGAACTGATGGGACGACGGTCTTATCAATGATTGTCGATAAAATGATCCATTATCGACATAAAGGTTAGTGCTTGGAAATGCGTTATGTGATAATAAAAGATTTTTGCTT